ATTCAGTTTACTGCTGTGCACAGACACACACATACACAGTATCTACGTTATCTCTCCCCTTCTCCCGCATTCATTGATCCACCGCACTAACATTAGTGAAGTTATTAGCTAGTTATGTTGGCTTGAGAAAACTATTATACTATTTAAACGTTTTATTATTCTTGGACCGGATCTGTAGTTTGTTGCTTTATCTTTTCTAACTGATTGGACTTACAGTTTTCGTATTAATTATCAATAATAAAAAACTTAGCATAGACTTACATTGGCTGAGCAAATATTGCCCCCTATAGAGCACAACTGCAGTCCACTAGAGGGAGCCACAGGATAAGAAATCTTTCAACTGGCCTCTTTTACTTTAGTTTTCAATCTGTTAAATTTATAAATAAATGCATACATTTCCTTTATGCTGCCAAGCAAAGCTAAAATATTTGTTCGTTATCAGGTCAGATTTCTAGAATAATGACTGTCTGATGTCCAGAGGTCAGTATGAAAGACGCTCGGGAGTCGGGACAGATGACTGATGATAATGCTGTGTCCTCAGAAAAATTAATAATTTGTACGTGTTTATAAGCCTTGCTAATTAAAACATTCAAGCGATTTTACACCATTTAAGCACAAGATCACATGAAATAACTCAATTCAGTGCTTGCGAGCTGTGTTGTGTGATAGAGCCACGTCGCGTGGTCACTTTCGCTGCTTCTGGCGCTTCATGTCAATGATATCATGGCGAATATCATCGAAAACAGTCGTGTATTACTCAAGTGAACAAACTGTTGAAATATATGGGATGGATCATTGGATTGTTAAATCGACCGCATTTACCAGCTGCTGACTGTATTTAATGTTAATCCATCAAAAAAGAGAAACTCATTGTTATTATATGCCAATAATCCCCTGCTGTTACGGTAATGAAAATAATTATGATAATAATGAAAATTTGAAAATAAATAGCCTATTATTCTAAATATGTAAGTATTTGGCGCTGTGATGAACACCATAGCTAATACACAAATCTGAATGGCTGTTTAAATCATTTAAATACGTTTCAGAAACAGAAAGTAGCGCAGCTGCTTTGTTTCCGGGGTAATGGCTGCATTTCTGCTGTTCAGCACCATCTGCTGTCAGAGAGTGAATGTGCTTTCATTCAGAGCGTCTCTCACGCGCTCCGCCATGCGCTTCTCATCCGCGCTTGTTTACATCAGAGTCCACGTCTTTGACACCGCATACAGCAGTATTGTGCATTGTGACCAGTTGATGGGAAAAGCATTCTTAAAATGCATTCAAAATTCTGTATAATTTGTAATAAGTAATTCTCTGTATTTTGAAGTGCCCACGATAACAATATCGTGCATGTTAATTATCGTGATATATCGCATTACCGAATACTAGCACATGTCTAGTTATGATAGCATCGGGCTTGTTTTCTGTACCGCCTATAGCATCAGCCTCGCATCTGGCTCATTTTCTGTAGTTTCTGTAACGTTCGTGTCATCTGCTGCAGCTGCAATAGGCGCATTTCCATTACAGATTTGCGCAAAACTTAGGCGATATTTTGTAAATGTTGATAAAAAAAAGGTATTGTGATATGACGGCATTTCGATTAACCGATGTGATGCGACTAAAACGTAATTGTTTCCTCTCGCGATAAGTTCTACAAAAAAAAAAGGTTCTTCAGCGGTTCTTTGGAGTGGTTAAGGTGCTATATAGCACCACTACCGTATAAAGAACCTGTTAAGCCCCTGTATAGTTCTTCAAAGGTTCTTTAACTCTCTCTTAGTCTCTTAGTTCAGTTG